CCCCTTAACATCTCCCCACATTTGATATGTACAGTAGTAACACGTACATGCGGGAGACCTAGCGTTTATTCAGTTCACGTAATATCTGCTTGCAATAACTCTTAGGGTGGGGAAGGGCAGGGGTCCAAAGGCCACAAGTGGGAACTAGTGCAGCAAGGCTATAAGTCCCCCCACATGTACATATACACTCTACGCACCCAGATGGAATTTCCCCAGCAACCCAGCAGCAACAGTTCAAATCAAATATTTCCTTCCAATTATCAAGGTTAACTTCACATTTTCCAGGGTGACTTCCTAGTAACTCTTGCCAAAGTTCTCAGAGACATCCTATAAAGGGGATCATGAGTTACTGGTCACCACAAGCCTCAGTCCTCACTGAAAGGGACAGGTAGAGCAGTGGTAATTCCTGAATCATTTTTAGTTTCCATCCCTTTCCTAACCCTACGTACCACCATGGAGCTGGTGCTTGGCATGTATCCACTGCTAACCTCATTTCCCTCTTTGGAGAGGTTATTAGAGAACCTGACAGTCTTCTCGTGCTTTGCTCTCATGCAGGATGCAGATGTATGGGCCAGATGAGAGAAGTCTGGCAGCTTTAGTACCATGGGACTGGATAGAGGGAGACAACCGAAGTTGACTCATGGATTGGGGTCAGCCTGAGGTTGGAGGGAGATCTCATGGAGACTTAATGAAGGCTTAGATGACTAATCAAGCTTTCATATAACACAAAACTGGGAAAGGTGGCTCCCATATCATACCTGTGGCAAGATGCCAGGGGCCCTGGTTTTCAATTCCAGTTATGCCATTTACTACCTCTGTGACCTTGAGCATTAACCTTCTAGGACCTGTTTCCTCAACTGTACAATGAAAGGGTTAGATTAGGTGCCATCTAAGGTCCTTTCCAGCTTTAGAGTCATGATCCAAGACTCTTTCTCTTCTTTGGGCCTCAGTTTCTCCTTATGTAAGTTGAGAGGGTTGGACTAAATTTCCTGTGGGATCCTTTCACATTTTAAATCTATGAGCTAAGTGACCTCCCCTCTCTGGGGCTCAATTTAATCATCTATGAAATCAAAGGGTTGTAAAAATGTACCGAATATTGAATACTCTTTGTCCTATCATGATTGGACTGAAACCCCAAAAGACCAAAGAGGGAAAGGACCCATATATACAAAAATATTTATAGCAGCTCTTTTTGTAGTAGCAAAAAACTGAAAACTGAGGGGACACAGTAGATAGAGTGCTGGACCTGGAGTCAGGAAGACTCTTCTCCCTGAGTTCAAATCTGGCTGTTTGCCTCAGTTTCTTCATCTGTAAAATGTGCTGGAGAAAGAAATGGCAAACCACTACAGTATCTTTGCCAAGAAAAGTCTAAATGGGGTCATGAAGAGTACTCATGACTGAAAAATGAAGAGGGTGCCCATTTATTTAATAACTAAGCAAATTATAATACATGAATGTAATGGATATTACTGAGCTGTAAGAATCGATGAAAAGAAGAGTTTCAGGGAAAGCAAGGATGAATGGATACAGAGCGGGGTGAGCAGAACCAGAGGAACAATGATACAGTAACAACAACCTTGTCAACACAACTTTGAATGCCTGAAACTGATCAATGCAATGACCAGCCATGATTCCAGGGGCCCCAGGACGAAGCCTGCTCCCCACCTCCTGACAGGGGGCGGGCTCAGGGGACAGACGGAGTATGGGTATGGCTAATGTGAGAGTTTGTTTTGTTTGACAATGGATATTTGTTATCTCTTCCCCTAATAAGGAAGGAGGTCGGAGGGAGGGAAAATCGTGGTTTCAAAGTGCTGATGTTTGTATTTATACTGTACAAGGGTTTTTTCATAGGATCTAGAGCAGGAAAAGACCCCAGAGGGGAAGGGAAAGGAACAGCATTTAATGAGCACCTCCTATGTGTCAGGCACTGTACTAACCACTTTACAAATAGTGCTGGGTTTGATGCTTGCAATAACCCTGGGAAGTAGGTGCTATGATTACCTTCATTTTCCAGTTGAATAAACTGAGCACAATTTGCTCTAGCTGACCTTTACAAGAGACCAAAAAGAGGTTCAGCTCAGGGGCAGAATGGAACCCAAGCCCCAGAGCCCATTGTCATGAGCCTCGCCTCATTGAGGACATCAATGTCTGGAGCCTGCAGAAGTGACTTCCTACAAGGAGGTGGGTGGTGAGTCAATGGCACGGTGGCTTGGGTGTTGATTTTAGAGTCAGAGGACCTAGGTTCAAATAGCTCTGCTATTTACTGTGTGTGTGACCTTGGATAAATCACTTCTCCCTCTCTGGCCCTGTTTCCTCACCTCTAAAATGAAAAAGTCGGACTAGATATTTCTAAGGTACCTTTTAGATTTTGGGGGGGGGTGAGAGTGGTTTTGAGAGACTTAATTTGGTTTGTAGGTAGAGGGGAAAGATTACATGGAGATGAAAAGACTTTGAAGACATGTGAAAAAGAAGGGAAGCTCCCAAGGGAGGCAGGGGGTGTGGGGCTGAGGTTACAAGTGGGACAGGGAAGCAGTGAGTAAATGATGAACTGACCTGCTGGGTGGCGGCTGAACGGCATGTGGAGCTGGAATGTGGGTTGGGCCCTCTGGCTGGCCAGGAGACAGAGCAGGCTAGCATGCCCTCCTTCAGCCACTAATCAACTGATCTGGGTTCTAGGAAGTGGATAGAGATGCAGTCCACTAGCTTTTAGTTGCAGACTGAACGAGTTATCAAATGCATCATTAATGTCTACTCTGAGCCCAGCAGGTGATACAGCAGGCAAGGTTCCTGCCTTCAGAGTTCTGGGTGTGCCAGTATACACGTGCATATGCATCCACATCCACGTACAGAGCACCCGCATAAGTCTTTGGGAGTCCCTGGGCTTCCCATCACTTGCAAATCCCTCCCAGTTCCTAGTGACCACGTCTTCTCTCCTCCTTTCACATTTATGGCATCCACCACCAGGTTCCTCCTTCACGTTTAGGTGTGCACGACTGATAACAGATTAAGCTATGCTGCAGATGTAATCAATCTAACCGAGAGATAAAACTGATATGTCCAAGGCCACTCAGTCTGCATTACAGCCAGGCCTTCCTGTGTCTTCCGGACACAATACAAGTCAACCCTGATTCAATTCAAAAAACATTAGTTACGTATTTACTAGATGTCAGTCATCTTGCTGGGTACTTGGGAATATTAGGAGTTAAAAGTGATCTCTGCCCTCAGGTGCTTACATTCTCCTGAGATCAGGATCCGTAAAGGCTTCCCATAAGTGGTAGCACTGGGGGTGAGGGGGTGTGGATAAGGAAAGAGGGATTTGGTGATGCCATATCTATACTCTAAGGGTAAAAAGATGAATCTTTATTGGTGTCTGGAGTGTATGTGTGTGTGTGTGTATATACTTTTGTTTTCTCCTCCTGTGGCTAGTCTAGCTTCTGCTCACAGCATCTGGGCAGCCTGGCAGGAAGCTGCATAAGGTGCCAAGCCCGGGGATACAGGAAAGCAGAACAGGTGTCAGCCATCAGAAGGGGGTGGGGATGCAGGAAAGGGGCAGAGGCTGGCAACCAGAACAGAAGCAACCCCGTGGTCAGGGCAGGATGTTTGAAATGATCATTCTTACCTAGTAACATACTAATTCGTGGTGGCAGGACACCCGAAGGAGAGAGCAGCAGAGGGGAGCTGCTGGACACCACAAGGCAGAAGGGCTGCTAGGAGCCATCCTTGGACTCAAGCCAGCTATTTTGGGGAAGTGGGGAGGACAGGCAAGGGAGTTGCCCAATAACCCTGACTTTATGGTTCCTGCTTGAAGAGAACCTTTTTTTTTTCTCAGCTGGAGACTTCAGCACCCTACAAGGTAAGGGGGCCCCTTTCTCTAAACGGCTGGAGGTGTGAAAATCTCAGGCACCGCCCTGATCAGGGAGTAAGAAGAAGCTGCTGAGCTATTCTATCAGGGCAGGGAAAGACTGGAGCCCCTTGAAGCATGGTCTAGGGGAAAGCACAGGTCAGGGCTCCAGGAAATTTGAGTTGTATCCTGGTTCTACAACTCACAAGCTATGTCATATGTCAAATGAAGCTAAGTCCTTCACTTGTCTGGACTTCTGTTCCCTTATCTCTAAAATAAGGAGACGAGACTAAATCACCTTTACAATCCCTTCCAGCTCTAAATTCTCTGTTCTCACTCGCTACGGGGTGAACTTGGCCAAGTCCCTTTATCTGGACGAACCTCAGTTTCCTCATTTGCAAAATGAGGGGTCTGGACTAGGGGACTTCCAAGATCCCTTCTTGTCTCTGACTTTCTGTGACTTGTCTCCCTCTAACCCTGACCAGGCAGGGCTAGTTTCTCCATTGTCGACTTGGGTCTTTCTCTTCCCTCTGCCTGCCCCATCCCTTATTTCTCAGTAAATTTCTTTAGTTGGGTAAGAGGAGAGAGAGTGATTTCTTTCTTTCCTTTCCCCAAACAGTAAAAGTGACAACAATCTCTTTTCTATACCAGACATTTCTCTGGACTTGAGTTTGATGACTGAGATTAGCCTGAGGGCTTCTGGATGACTTTGTGTATGGGGAGGAAGGGGCTGCTAAGGTGTGAAGAGAGCCTTTCCCTCCCTACCTTCACCTTCCCCCCCCATCCCATAATACCTTGGTCAGGTCCCTGCACATGACAGTAGCTATTTGGAGTGAATAGGGAGAAAAATATAAAAAGGTACATGTGAGTGAACAATCAGAAGAGACTATACAAGGCTGAAGCATTTACATTCTAACAGATGATAGCACTGTCCCCACGTAGCCCTAAGGTTACTAGGGCTCATTGAGAAAGCTATATAAGACAGAGTGGGGATTCTGGGAATGGCTACATTATGTTTTGATGATATCAAAAGAAGGAAGGAAAGGGAGGGGAAAAGGAATATAGTAGAGAAGATAGGAAGAAGGATGGGCAAACTTACTATCTCACATAAGCAGGGTGTGCATTAAAAATCTGTACAAACCAACTGTGGTGGCACGTGCCTGTAGTTCATGTTCCTGGAGAGGCTGAAGGTGATGGATCTCAGAAGTTCAGGAGTTCTGAGCCACTGGAGGGATGAAGCTGATCTGGTGTCAGCACTAAGTCCCAGGGGAGCCTTGGGGAGCAGGGGACCACCAGGCTGCTTTAGGAGGGTCAAACCAGCCCAAGTTGGAAGTGAAGCAGGTCAAAGATTGTTTACTGATCAGCATTGGTGAATGGTCATCACACTTCCAACCTAGGTGAGACAGGAAGATTGAATCTCCAAAACAAAGAAACAAACAAACAAAAAGTCAATACAAAGAGGAACTGACCTGAACTGGTCAAAATAAAAATGCACAAGCAGAGATTTTGGTGTAGAAATGCGTTCAACTCAAGAGAGAAATAAGAGGAAACAGGAAGAGGGAAGAGAAGGGGAAAAGTGGGTGAAAAGGAGGAGTCATAAGCAAAAGAAACTCTAACCATGGAAGAAGGATCCTGAAGAGGGATTTAAAAGGAAAGAAAGAAAAGGTAAGAATCTGTAATTAGATCTAGGTAAGAGGAAGAGAAGAAGAGCAGGGGAGAAAATACAGATTGTATCAAGCATAGAGCACAGAAGCCAAGAACAGTCTTCTCTTATCACCCACTTTGTAAAGATGAGGCATAGAGCAAAGAGAGGAAGAAGTAAAAGAAACAGGATGGAAATAAACACAGTTAACAATCATAAATGTGAATGTGAATGGGATGAACTAGCCCATAAAACAGAAGAAGAGACTGTCATGGATTTCAAAGCAGAATCCAACAATATATCATTTACAAGAAATATACTTGAAACATAAAGATGTATATAGAGTTAAAATAAGGGGCTGGAGCAAACTGTGATACTTCAACTGAACTAAAAAATTTGGAGGCTATACCATTTGGTGTATACATGTTTAGTACTGATATTACTTCATTGTCTATGTTACCTTCTAGCAAGTTTTTTAGTAGTTTTTTTCCTTATTTCTTTTAATTAGATCTATTTTTGCTTTTGCCTTGTTTGAGGTTATGATTGCTACTCCTGATTTTTTTTTTGCTCTAGCTAAAACATAATAAATTCTGCTCCAGCTTCTTATATTTTGTCTTTGCATATCTCCCTGCTTCAAATGTGTTTCTAAACAACATATTGTAGGAATCTTGTTCTTAATCCACTCTGCTATCTGCTTCCATTTTCTGGGTAAGTTCTTCCCCTTCACATTCACAGTTTTATGACTGCTAACTATTGTGTATTTACCTCCATCCTATTTTCTCCCATTTATCTTTCTCTCTCTCTCTCCCTTTACCCTGTCCCTCCTCACCAGTGTTTTGCTTCTGACCATGCCTCTCCCAATCCATCCACTCTTCTATTAGTCTGTCCACCTTCTCTTATCCCCCTTCCCTCTTACTTTCCTATAGGGTAAGATAGATTTCTATACCCAACTAAGTGTATATGTTATTCCCTTTGAGCTAATTCTGATTAGAGTAAGTTTCAAGAGATGCTTCACTTCCTTCTTTCTCTCCACTGTAATAGATTATCTGTACCTCTTCATGTAAGATAATTTACTCTATTCTACTCCCCCCTTCTCCCTTCTTCCAGTGCGATCTTCCTTCTCACCTCTTAATTTTTTGTTTTGAGGGATATCATCCCATGAAAGTCAACTTATACCTGTGCCCTCTGTCTATGCATATTCCTTCTAAAACTGCCCTAATAGTGATAAAGTTCTTAAAAGTTACAGGTATCATCTTCCCATATAGGAGTATAAACAGTTTAACCTTATTGAATACTTTATGTTTTCTCTTTTCTGTTTACCTTTTTATTCTTCTCTTGAGTTTTGTATTTGAAAGTCATATTTTCTGTTCAGCTCTGGTGTTTTCATCAGAAATGCTTGAAAGTCTTCCATTTCATTGAATATCCATTTTTTTCCTCTGGAGGATTAGACTCAGTTTCATCGAGTAGGTGATTCTTGGTTGTAATCCTAGCTCTTTTACCCTCTAGAATATCCCAATCCAAGCCTTCTGATCCTTTAATGTAGAAATTGCTAAATCTTGTGTAAATCCTGACTGTGACTCTATGATATTTGAATTTTTTTCTGGCTACTTGCAGTATTTTCTCCTTGATCTTAGAGTTCTAGAATTTGGCTATAATATTCTTGGGAGTTTTCATTTTGGGATCTATATCTTGCCACTGGACACAAATGGCTCTGGAGGAGACAATGAGGCTGGTGACTTTGTGCAGCCCTCCCTCACTTAAATCCAATTCACTTGCAGGTCATGGTATCATCTTCCTGATATCATGGTCCTCTGCAGAAACAAAGGACAAACAACAATGACATTTTGAGATCTCTTTCAGGAGGTAATCATTTGATTCTTTCAATTTCTATTTCACCCTTTGGTTTTAAGATATCAGGGCAATTTTCCTTGATAATTTCTTGAAATATGATATCTAGGCTCTTTTTTTGATCATGGCTTTCAGGTAGCCCAGTAATTCTTAAACTCTCTCTCCCAGCTCTATTTTTTCAGGTCAGCTGTTTTTCCAAAGAGATATTTCACATTTTCTTTGATTTTTTTCATCCTTTTGATTGTTTCTTGATGTTTCATGGAGTCATAAGCTTCCACTTGCTGATTCTAATTTTTTTTTTGAGGCAATGGGGGTTAATTGACTTGCCCAAGGTCACACAGCTAGTAAGTGTCAAGTGTCTGAGGCTGGATTTGAACTCAGGTCCTCCTGACTCCAAGGTCAGTGCTCTATCTGCGTCATCTAGCTGCCCCTGAATTCTAATTTTTAAGGAATGATTTTCTTCAGTAAGTTTTTGTATCTCCTTTTCCATTTGGCCAATTCTATTTTTTTTAAGGAATTCTTTTCTTCAGTGAATTTTTGTATATCTTTTCCCACATTTTGTGCTTCCTTTACCAAACTGTTGACTCTTTTTTCATGATTCTCTTGCACCACTCTCATTTCTTTTCTCAATTTTTTTCTGTCTCTTTTATTTGATTTTTTTAAATCCTTTTTTGAGCTCTTTTAGGAGTTCTTTTTAGTCCTGATACCAATTAACATTTTTCTTTGAGGCTTTGCATTTAGACATTTTGACATTGTTGTCCTCATCTGAGTTTGTATTTTGATTTTTCCTGCCACCATAGTAACTTTTTATTGTCAGGTTCTCTTTTTGTTTTGTTTTGTTCTTTGCTCATTTTTCTAGTCTATCTCATGACCTTTGATTTTATGTTAAATCTGGGCTCTGCTCCTAGGGTAAAAGGGGCACTGTTCCAAGCTTCCTGCACAGCCTGCTGCGGGACTGTGCTCCCCTTTTACCCAAGGCCTTTTCTGCAGGCCTTCTAAGTTGTCTTAGGCTGGAAAATTGTTTCACTCTGTCCTTTTGTTGATTCTGCTCCAGAATTTGTTGTAAGGTGTGATTTTATAGTGGTTCAGAGGCCAATTTGAGAGACTTCAGGTGAGTTCCTGCCTTACTCTGCCATCTTGACACTGCCCTCCCTAATTTGATTTTTAAAAGAAAAATCAAAGTACTAAAATAAAAAATGAAAAAGTACAATTTGCTACAAATGAAGAAATATAGGAAATTATTAGAAACTTTTTCTATGTGACAATAAAATTGACAAATTAAAAGATAAATATTTACAAAAACACAAAATTCTGAGATTAATGGAATAAGAAACAGAGAATTTAAATAACTCAGTCTCAGAAGAATCAGTTGAACAAGCCATATATGAACTACCAAAGAGGGGGGAAAAAACCTTCACAAGTACATAGATTTATAAGTGAATTTCACCAACCACTCAAAGAGCAATTAATTGCAATATCACATATGCTGTTTGCAAAAATAGTAAAAGAAGGGATCCTATTACATTCTTTCTATGATACAAATATGGTCTTAATATTTAAGCTAGGGAGAGTCATAACAGAGAATGGAAACTATAGATCAATATCCCTCATGAAAACTGATGCAAAAATTTTAAAGAAAATGTTATCAAATAAGCTTTAGCAACACATGACAAAAATTACATGTTATGCCAAAGTCAGATGTTTACCAGGAATGCAGGGTTGGCTCAATATTAAGAAAACCATAAATATACTAGATCACATTAATAACAAAACCTATGCATAAAAAGTTTTTGACAGAATACAATATCCATTTCTGCTAAAACACTAGAAAACAGGAATAGAGGGATCTTTCTTTAATGTGGTAAGTAGTATCTACGTAAAATTTAGAGCTAGTTTTATGTATAATGAAGATAAAATGGACAATCTAGATTACATAAAATTTATTTTTTGCATAAATAAAACCAATGTAGTTAAAATTAGGAGGAAAAGACTTAACTAGGAAAAAAATCTTTTCATTGTTTCTCTGATAAAGGTTTCATTTCCAAAATATATAAGCAGCTGATACATATTTATAAGAACAAGATCTGCTCCCCAATTGACAAGAGTTCAAAGGATGTTGACAGGTGGTTTTCAAGGGAAGAAATCTAACAGCTATCCAACAACCTATGAAAAAGAAGCTCCAAATCAGTGGTATCAAACTCAAATAAAAACAGGGGCCACTAAACTGTACATAAGGATTCTTGCAGGCTCATGTTGATTTAGAAAACCGTATGTTAACATTATCTATGTTCTATTGTATTTTTATTTTATTTTGTTTAGTTAAACATTTTCCCAACGCATTTTAATCTGGTTCAAACTAACTGCATGAGCTGCTGTGGACAGGCTTATCATGTGTTTAATATTTCTACTCTGAATCACTAATGATCAGAGAAATGCAATTTAAAGCAATTCAAATTCTACCTTACAGCCATCAGATTGGTAAATAGGCTTAAAAACAAAATTGAGAAGGGGGGGTGGGGAGGCACGCTAATGTACTATACTTGGAACTTGAACATTCACTTGAACATTCTGAAAACTAATTTGGAATTCTGCCCCAAATCTACTACTGTGTATATCTTTTGACCAAGTGATACCACTATTTGTCCTATATCAAAAAAAGATTGAAAAAGGAAGAAAAGGACCCATTTGTATTTGTAACAGCTCTTTTTGCAGTAGTGAGGAACTAGAAGCTAAAGGGGTGCCATCAATAGGGAAATGGCTGAACAAATCATGGTACATGAATGGGATGGAATACTGGCTGGAATATTGTGCTGGAAGAAATAAGGAAAGGGATGGTTTCAGAGAAACTCTGGAAGACTTGCATGAACTGATGCAGAATAAAGTGAACTGATCTGGGCAAACAATTTACACAATAACAGCATTATAAAGGCAATTAACTCTGAATGACTTTAAAACTCTGATCAAAACCAACCAAGATCCCAGGGAACCAATGAGAAAGCACGCTCTCACTTTCTTGACAGAGAGGTGATGGATTCAGGGTGTAGAACGAGGCAGACATTTCTGGAAGTGGACAATATGGGGGGTTGTTTTTCCTTGCTGACGTGTATTTGTCACAAGGGTTTGGGTTTTCCTTTTTCTTTCTTACTGTGCTTGGACGAGATTGTGGTGGGAATAGAGGGAGGTGTGGTGGGGATCCAATGGGGGACATGCTATAGAAACCAAAGCTCTGGAGTCAGGGAAGAGTTAAACCCACTAGGGAGGAAGGGCCTGTGGTCTGTGGTCGCTTGTTTGCTCCACTACATTGCATTAGACCCTACAGTGTTTTCTTTTCTTCTCTCACTGTTTTCTGGGTGGAGGGCTGGATTTTCCCTGAGCTCATTGAGTTGAGGACCTGTATCTTTAACTCCTGCTTCCCCACTGTTTTTCAATCCTTAAGGGGTTCAGAGGGCTCAGTGAGTTGTATCAGACTGGGGACTTAAGGAAACCTCTGCTGTCAGGGGTTGAAGCGACTTGGCTCTGGGTTCACATTAGAAAAAGAACTTGAGATCTCTTATAGAAGGCGGTATCTGAAGCAAGTGAGGGAAGCCAGAGGTGAGGAAGAGCATTCCAAGCATGAGGGACAACCAGTGCAAAGGCCTGGAGACTGGAAATGGGGTGTAGTATTTGAGGAAGAGTGGGAAGACCAGTGTAGCTGTATCTCAGAGTACACAGAGTGTAAGAAGACTGGAAGTGTCACAAGGGATCTGGCTGTGCAGTGTATTAAAGGCCAAACAGAAGGCTTGAAGGTTGATTCTGGAGGTAAGAGGAAGTCCCTGAGGCTCATTGGGTAGTACATGGCATGGCCAGACCTGCATTTCAGGAAGATCACTTTGGCAACTGAGTGGAAGATGGACTGAGTGGACAGGGGGACCCACCATCAGGTGAGAGGCAATGAGTGCCTGCGCTAAGGGGTAGCAGCATCAGAGGAGAGAAGGTGATGTGTTGGAGAGATGTTGTGTTGGGAGGACAATGAGGTTTGGCAATAGATGGGTCATGGGGGGCAAGAGAGAGGATAGAGAAGCGGGGCTGACACTGAGGTCTTGAGCCTGGGGGACCAGGCAGGAAAGTATGAAAGAGGGGTGGGTTTAGGGGTGGGTGTGCAGGGACCCCTGGGAAAGATTGTGAATTCTACCCTACCGGTAGTAGACCTGGACCACTCCCAAGTGCTCAGAGTTCACAGCCTCTCCCTCCACCTTGCAGCCTCTCTGTCCTGGTGACCAGCCACATTTCATCATGTGAGAATGGCCTCTAGCTGGACAGGATATGGTCATACACACATTACTCAGAGGCTAAGGACAGGGATTGACAAGGACCAGCAAGCATTACCAAAGCCCCTCCTCTGTGTCATCATCTTTGTTCGAGGGGCTTATAAAGTCAAAATTTCCCTCAATGAGCTTATTGCCCCCCTGTCCTATAGCCAGAGAAGGCACCAGGAGAGGGGAGAAGATGTGGCCCCTGGAGCTCTTTACTTGGGGACAGAGAAGGCTCAAAGGTAGGTCCTTGAGCCATAGGACTGGGGAAGACAGGTGAAACCTTGATGGTCTGAACCAATCTGGGACTTCTTCGATTGTTGTGTTTTTTTGGGGGGAGGACCTAGGTAATGGGGTTAAGTGACTTGCCCAGGGTCACACAGCTAGTAAGTGTCAAGTGTCTGTGGTCGGATTTGAACTCAGGTCCTCCTGACTCCTGGGCTGGTGCTCTGTCCATTGTGCTACCTAGCTGCCCCCTTGATTGGGTTTTAAAGGCACAATGTCTTGCTCGGTGTAGACCTTTAACAATGTTTGTTGAATCCAAGGGAATTAAATTTGCTGCCTGTCCGGGGCACCACCACCCTCCCAGTCACCCTAGCTATGTGCCATCCTTGGCTCCTCACCGTCTCTCATCTCTATCCCAATCAGTTGCAAAGTCCCATTAATTCTTTCCTAGCCCTGATCCATCCATTCAGCTGCCAAATCAACCTTTCCAAAGGGCAGATTTGATCAGGTCATGCCACTATCCGATAAACTCCCATGGCTTTTCATTCCTTGCAGGAGCACATATAAACTCTCCGTTGCACTTTTCAAGCCCTTCAGAACCCGCCCTGCTCCTACCTCTCCAATCTTCTTAAACCTTCTTCCCCTCCAAATACTCTTAGTGACACTGGCCCCGGGCTGTTCTCAATACACAACAAGCCGTATTCCAGCTCTGTGCGGTTCCATTGGCCACCCCCAAGGCTCTCCCTTTTGGTCTCAGTCTGTGGCTTCCTTCAAGGCTTAACAAATATCCTCCCCTCTGTGAGACTCCATTCCCAGCCCTCCTTAATGTTAGTCCTCTCCCTCTGGGATTGACTCCCATTGACACAAGATATATCTTGTTTGTGCATAGCTGTTTGCATGTTGTCTCCCACATTGGAATATGAATTCTTTGAGGGCAAGCTGTGTCTTTGCCTTTCTTAGTATCTCCAGTATTTAATACAGTGCCTAGAAAATAGTAAGTGCTTAATAAATGCTTGTTGACTGACTGACCATTGGAGAATGTGGATAACTTGCAAGAGAGAGACTTGGCTATGCCTGTGAGAATATACCTCCTTCTCTAATCTCCCAGTCTCCATGGGGCTCGGGCTGAGACGCCAGTCATTGGGGTTTGGAAACTGGCTACTTCATTGGTAACTTTATCATTATAGGTAGAGTCACTGAGCTTAGATCTTCTTCCTCCTGGGAGCTCCAATCAACCAATCAGGCAAGCAAGCATTAATTGAGCACCTACTGTGTGTCAGGCAGTAGGACTACAGAAATGGTCTTGACTCTCAAAATTCACCTTCTATAAATCAATCAATTGATCCATTGACAAACATCTAAGGCTTCCTGTGGGCTGCCAATGAAGGTGAAGTCCATTGGCTTTGGGTGGGTGGGAGAGGACCCACACCCTTCAGCCTTAGGGAAGGTCTGATTCTCCCACCCACACATGGTAAGGCTTTTGAGAAGAGGGTCTATAATGGATTTATCTTTGTATTCTCATTTCTTGAATGGAGTAGAAACTTCATTATGTAAAAAAAAAAGAGTTGTTACTGAAATATTTTATATCACTTTCATTTCTTGATATGTCCATCCTTTCCCCCATGTAGAAAACCAGATCTTATAAGAAAGAATAAAAAAGAAAGAGGGAAAAAAAGCATTTAGCAAAACTAATCCACACATCAACCAAATTGGACTCTAGGCAATGCTCCACAGCCATAGTTCCCCCCTCAAGAAGGTATGGAGGCTTAGCATACTCACCATCCTCACCTTCCTCACCTTCACCATCACCATCCTCACCTTCACCATCCTCTCCCTCACCATCACCATCCACACCATCCTCACCCCCACCATCATCACCCTCATCATCCTCACCTTTACCATCCTCTCCCTCACCATTACCATCCTCACCATCATCATCACCATCATTGTCATAACTAGCATTTGTCTGGTACTTTAAGGTTTACAAAGTGCTTTAGAAATATTTATTCCTTTTATCCTCACGACAACCCTGGGAGGCAGGTGCTATTATTATCCTCATTTGAACAGATGAGGAAACTGAGTTAGACAGAGGTGAAGTGACTTTACAAGGGTCAGATACTAAGTGTCTGAGCCTGGATTTGAACTTTTGTCTCTCCTGACTCTGTGCCCATGCCAACGTGTAAACAACTAAGTAAACACCAGGTATATACAAGGTAGATGAGGAGCATTCTGGGAAAGGAAGACACTAGTAGGTGGAGGGGCATAAAGGCCTTCAGGAGGAGGTGGCTTTGGAGTTGAGTCTGGAAGGAGGCAAGGGAAACTGAGAAGCAGAGAGGAGGGGCAGAGCAGTCCAAGCATAAGAGACAGCTAGGTCAAAGGCCCAGAGGGGAGAGATGAGAAGTCTCCTTCAGGCCACTGCAAGTAGGCCAGCATCACTGAAACAGTTTGAGAAGGGAGGAAGGTGCAATAAAACCAGAAAGACGAGAAGGGGCCAAGTTGTTAAGAGCTTTAGATTCCAAATATCTAAGGAAACTGAGGCCAGCATCACCATCATCATCACCCTCACTGCCATTGGCTCAGTGGTGGAAATTTGACAAAGCATTTTACAGACATTAGCTCAATTCTCTTCCTTCCAGTCTTGTTATCCCCAATTTTCAGATGCAGAAGCAAAGGCACAAAGACGGACAGTGGCTTGCCTATGACCACACAGCTAGTCAGCATGGGAGGTGAGATTCAAACTGAGGCCCCTCCTGACATCAAGCCTGAGGTCACTCTCTCTATCCCCCTGTCAGTCTTTGTCTCTCTGTCTCTCTTTATTGCTCTGTCCTTGTCTGTCTCAGTCTCTGTGTCTCTATCTGTGTCTGCACATCTGTTTCTTTGTTTCTGTGCATCTATCTATCTCTGTGTCTCTGCTTCTGTGTCTCTGTGTCTCTCTGTTTCTGTCTATCTTTGTGTCTCTATTTCTCTGTCTCTATATGTCTCTGTTCCTTTGTCTCTGTGTGTCTGTCTCTGTCTCTATCTATTTCTGTATCTTTGTCCCTGTGTCTCTCTGTGTGTTTCTGTCTATCTCTGTGTATCTCTCTGTCTCTGTGTCTCTCTGTGTGTTTCTGTCTATCTCTGTGTATCTCTCTGTCTCTGTCTCTGTGTCTCTCTCTGTGTGTTTCTGTCTATCTCTGTGTATCTCTGTGTCTCTGTCTCTGTGTCTCTGTGTGTTTCTGTCAATCTGTGTATCTCTCTGTTTCTGTCTCTGTGTCTCTGTCTATCTCTGTGTCCCTGTCTCTCTGTGTGTCTCTCACATGTATACGCACATGCGCACACACAGATACACGCATGTGCGTGCTCGCGCACGCGCGCGCACACACACACACACACACACACACACACACAGAGTTAGTAGCAGCATCGAGCCTCCTGGCTCATTCTATCCCTTGGTGCTCCTTCCATAACAGCCTTCTCATGTCCTCACTCACACAGGGATCTCTTCTGCCTGGGTGTCGTGGGGTTTTGGTCCTTGGCCGTCCAGATGAATCCATACAACTGTAGTACCGTGAGGAGCGACTTCTCCCAGAAGGTCACCATTTTGTACTTGTCCGTCATCCTGGTCTTGGGGACTACCCTCAATGGCCTGGCCCTGTGGGTGTTCTGGTGCCGGATGAAGAGGTGGACGGAGACGCGGGTGTACATGGCCAACCTGGCTGCGGCGGACTGCTGCCTGCTGCTCAGCATCCCCATGGTCTTGTACACGACGGGCAGGGAGCACGCGGAGGACCTGCTCTGTACAGTGTCCCAGAGCATTTACCTGATCAACGGTTACATGAGCATGTATGTCATCACCGCCATCGCCGTGGATCGCTTCGCTGCCATCCAGTACCCTCTGCGGGCCAGGATGTGGCGCTCCCCCCGGCAGGCTGCTGGGACCTGTGCTCTCCTCTGGCTGCTGGTCATCTGCCTGGTTTCTCTACCTGCTGCCTGGAAGCAAGATGGCCAGAACTTCTGCTTCGGGAAGAGCCAGACTCGGGGTCGCGGGGCCATTGTTTTCTCCTTGGTCCTGTTTGTCATCCCTCTTGTGGTCCTTGTTTTCTGTTCCGTGCGGGTCCTCCAGAATCTGGTCAGGAAAAAGGCACAGGTGGCAGCCCAGGACAGGAGGCTGATCCACAAAGCCCTCTGCGTGGTTTCAGCTAATCTGGCCATCTTCCTGGTCTGCTTCCTCCCCCAGCACATGGCTCTACTGGCCAAGCTCATGACTGAGTATGTGGAGACCTCCTGCCCTGTGCTTCAGCATGTGGTCATTTCCATCAGGGTGGCCTCCCGCCTTGCCAATGCCAACTGCTGTTTGGATGCCATGGGCTATTACTTTGTGGCGCAGGAGTTCCAGGAAGAAGTAGCGGTGTTCTTAGGCACACCTAAGTTCCTCCAGAGTCAGACTAGAGGCAGCCCAGGCACTGACCTCCCAGACTTCCCTAAGGGAGGAAAAGTGGAGGCAGCCTCAGAGAGCTCCCAAGCGTTGCCTTCCAGTTAAGTGTGGTACCTTGGCATGCAAGGGAATATTCAAAATTTGGCACAAAAGGACTATTTCTGCTTACCACCTGACTCCCTAAGGGCAGGGCCCTCAAGATGGAGCCCAGCTCAGTGAGCCCACGCCCTCCCTTAATGGGGTCCCTTGGGCCAGTGGTGACTTCTTAGAGGCTTGTCCAGGATGTGAGGGGTGGCATTCCCACCCACCCTGAGTGCTTAATTCCTTTTGTGGAGCTGCAGACACATTTGGGGCTCATTTGAGATTGTTCCACTTCTTTCTGAACTAGGTTGCTTGTTCTAGTGTGGGCTGACATCAGACATCCTTTTTGGAACACCCCACGACCGATGGAAAGAGTTTGGCCGTGGGAGCAGGAGAAATCTAGGTTTGGCTCTTCCTTGGATACTGCTTAGCTGTGCGACATTGGGCAAATGACTTCCCTTTTTGAGGCCACAGCTTCCTCATCAGGAAAGTAGGAGGGTTGGACTTAAGAATCTCCGAGGACCTTCCCAGCTCTGACGCTCCAGAATTCTGCCTGATTCTGTGACTGAATGCTTTGCTCTCCCCAGAGTCTATTTTAAGTATAGCCTGGAGAGAGTAATGTAGAATCCAAATGAACAAGGCTGTGAGCTACCATGGACAGAGCCCTGAGTTTAGGCTGTCTTATCCGTGTGACATTCAACAAACCACCTGACTCCTCTGGGACTAGGTTTCCTGATCTGTACAAGGAGAAGGGGTGGGACCAGACGACCTCTAAATCTATTGTTCTATGAAGTGTTGATGGGGATATCAGTCTTTGCTGGCAGAGCAAGAGCCTTGGCAGGGAGAGGAGGGAGACAGGAAATCCTCCCTTCCTCTTCTGAGAATCACTGTGAATTGGGAAAGTTTATCTAATTGGCCTGCCCATCAATTGGGGAATAGCTAAACAATCTGTGGTATATAATTGTGATGGAATATTACTATGCTGTAAGAAATGACAAGCTGGATGATTTCAGAAAAACCTGGAAAGATTTACAGGAACTGATGCATGATGAAGTGAACAGAACCAGGAGAACATTGTACACAGTAACAGCAGCATTGTTCGATGAAGAATTGTGAATACTATTCTTGGCAATACAATGACCCAAAATAATCCCAAAGGACTCATGAGGAAGCATCCTAATCCCCTCCACAAAAAGAACTGATATTGATTGAATACAGACTGAAGCATGCTGGTTTTCACTTTCTTTCATTTTTTTCTTTTATTCGAGTCTTCTTGTAAAAAATGACTAATAAGGAAATGTTTTATGTTATTGCAAGAAATTAAAAAATAAAAAAAATTAAGTTTTCTTTTGCTTCTAAATCTATTATCCTACGCAGTTTTGATGGGAGATTTTTAGGAATTGCTGGTAGGGCTATTTGGGGGCAAGAGGCTTAGTGGAGGTGGAAGGAAAGACAGGGAATCCTCTCTCAAACTCCTGATCAGCTAGGATGTGGATGACTTTAGTCCTTTACGCAGAGGAGGATCCCAATGGTGATGGGCTTTGAAAATTGTGCTGTTACAGAAAACTCCTCCCTTTGGTCAGTCAATGCCCAAATCCCAAATTCAAAAACTCAGAATATGTGAGGTAACAAGTCTAGAGGCAGCCACTTCTCAGGATCGTTAATTACTGACCTGTGCCCAGAAAAGGAAATAAAAAGGCACCAGAAATTGAGAACTCCAGGAACTTCTAGCCCCGGGCTGTGAATGAGCACTTGCTTCCCATGGCCGTGTGCTTCTGCTGGTCTTCCCCACCTTACCTTCTTCTGTCAGGAACTGCGAGGAAGAGAAGGTACTCGAGAAGTGTCCAAGAGATGGAAGGAGCTGTTTCTGATCAGATCTATTAGAGGCTACAGAGGGGAAAGTGCTTCCCATAAGTCTGGTTTATTAACCCAGTCAACTCGTCATCATAAGATTACTCCAGCCAGCAGGAACCCATCAAGGGAGCTCATGGCGTCCACTCAGCTGGTGCATGTGCCTTGGCAAGTAGACAAATGAGCGTGTACAGCTCCCAGGAAGATGCTCTAAGCCAACAAAGACGCACACGCTGCACTCTCAAGCGTATTGTGGGACTCCCACAACCTATGCAAGACTCCCTCCTACACTGAGAAAAGTGCAACCAAGCAACATAGCTCAGTGGTCTTGGATTCAGAGGGACCTGAGTTCAAATCCTTCCACTTCCATTTACTACCTCATGTGGCCTTTCTGAGCTTTCTATTTCCTTATTTGTAAAATGAGGTTATTGGACCAGATGACCTCCAAGACCCCTTTCAGATCTATGATCCTGCAAAGTTTTGACAGAATTTTTTTTTTTGGCAATTGGGGTTAAGTGACTTGCCCAGGGTCACACAGCTAGTACGTGTCAAATGTTTGGTCTGAGGCTGGATTTGAACTCAGGTCCTCCTGACTCCAGGGCCCATCCTCTATCCACTGCACCACCTAGCTACCCCTTGACAGAATATTTTCAAGCAGCAGTGATAGAGAGAATGTGAGAGAACATCGCTCAGGGAATTGGGGGTCTTCCTTCCTACCTCCTACACTGTGATTTTGAATGATCTGCTCAGTGTGGCAGAACCACTTTTTTTTTTGCCTTGTCACCAGAGGTCACCAGAGCATCAATCCTGTGAGGTCACAGGACCCGAGTCTGAATCTTTGCTCTGCTGATCTTACCGATGCAACCCCGGGCAAGTTAGCTCACCTCCGAGGTGTCACTCTCTTCATCCGTGAGATGGAAGGGGTGGGCTACATGACCTCTGAGGTCCCTTCCATCTCTCGACCTATGATTCAATCAGCAATCACCAAGCATATATTAAGCACTTGCTGTATGCCAGGCCCTGGGGATACAAGGACAAAAATGAACCATTTCCTCACCTTGAGAAACTAATCTATTGGGGGAGATGACCTGCCCCCACGTAAGCACAAACGGAATAAATACAAACAATTTATTTTATAATCAACGATCGTTGAATCGCCTAGGTTCTTGCTTCTGGTCACATCTGGCCGGCGTCAGCAGAGGGCGTCTGAACTGTCAGGGAGGGCTGGTCCAAGCCTTGAAGACCACAGACCAAATTGACAAGATGAAGTCATCACATACTGTCCTCCATTCCTGCAGCCTGACTGAGGGCTTCTCCTCCCCGACTCTGACAGTTTGGCAAACCCCCAGGCTCTGTCACTCAGCAGGGGCCCTTCTGCCTCTCCTGTCACCAGGAGCGAGTACCCTGATCTCTGGAGGAAGTAGCAGCGGGAGACGCTTCTCTGCGGCATTTCTGTCGCCCACCTGCCAGGTTGTCAACCACCAATGATCTCACAGCCAACATAGAGGAAACCACTCCCATCAGCCCTCGGATGAGCTAAGAGCCCAGGTTTTGGCAATAAGCTGGTGCCCATTTTCTTCCAGCTGCAGTCATTGCTTGGGGTCCAGTTACCTGTGTGAGAACAGCTGTCTTCTGAATCATCCCTTTCACCTACTGACCTGTGGCCCTCCCTACCTCCCTCAGGATTCCCATAGTCAAACCCCAGGTGAGTTAATACCTGCTTTCTCATGGTGTGGGCACTGCACAAGTTCCCCAAAGGGAAAGTGGGCAGAGGGGAGGGCAGTAAAGAGAGTCCACGGGGGCAGCTCAGTGGTGCAGTGTCTGAAGTCAGGAGGAGCTGAGTTCAAAGCTGGCCTCAGACCAAACACTTGACACTTAACTAGCTGTGTGATCCTGGGCAAGTCACTTAACCCCAATTGCCTCAAAAAACAAAAAAAGAGAGTCTGCCATTACTTTTCCTAATTTTAGTTGGGGGTGAAGTGGAAGGAGTACAGGAGGTAGAAGATGTGGCATGTGGGCCTCTAGCCAGGCCATATGGTCAGTTGAGTACAGATTTAAAGCCCCCTCACTCTGCTCCCTACCTCCAAGGGCTCATCTGGTCACTCAGATTCTGAAGTTAGGGTCTTCTTTTGCTAAATGGCAGAAGCGTACCTGCCCATCCTCCCTCCTTTCCTCCCAGGGAAAAGGAGCACCTGAGAAAACCTAGGATGGGACAGAATTTAAGAGGGACTCTGAAATGCCTTCAGAGTTAGAAGCTATTAATCAGTCTCCAGTATATGGAGTCAGAGGCCCTGGTTCTAATCCTATCTCTTCTGCTTGGTATCTGTGTAACGCTGGATAAGTCACTTAGCTGGCTCTCTTTCTGAAGGGGGAAAGAGTGCCAGATGTGAGCCCAGGCTTCTCAACTGGAACCAGTCCTGGGATCATTGAGATATTTTAGTCCTCCCACTCGGGACTCTCTGAGGCTCAGGGGGTGGGGACCAGGAAGGAGGGAGACAAAGGTAGGAGAAACAGGATTCAAGGAGAAGGTGCTTGAAGGAGAGGAGGAGGGAGCTTTCACGTGTTTTTCCATTCAGCCTTTCGATGGTGTTCAGATTGAAATGGTCCTGGGAAAGGTTGTGGTATTGCTATTTTTCTTGGACTATTCTGTGAACTATATATTATATTATATATAAGATGACTGCCATCATGATTGTTTTTCTTATTACAATGAATGATGGAGCTTTTCCTCACTGGGTAGGTTTCTGCATGAATGAATGTGTCTAACAGCTGCAACTCAGCACTCAGCTCCCCAGGAGAGGCATACATCTACATGAGTTTTTATGGCCTCCTCTTCATCGTTGGGCTCACTCTCAACATCCTGGCCCTGTGGGTCTTTTGCTGTCGGATGAGGAAGTGGACAGAGACACAGGTGTACATGGTCAACCTGGCCGTGGCAGACAGCGGCCTGATCCTGCTCTTCCCCATTGTCATTTACTTCACGCGTGCCAGCTGCCTTGAGGATCTCTCTTGCCAAGTGCCCCAGGCAATCTATCTTGTCAATGCATACATGAGCATCAGCATCCCCATGGCAATTGGGGTGGACCGCTATGTGGCCATCAGGTTCCCACTGAAGGCCAAGGTCCTTCGAACCCCAGGCCAGGCAGCCATTGTCTGTGCCCTCCTCTGGGTTGTGGTCATTAGCATGTTGGTTTTTCGTGTCATATGGCAGATCCAAGATGGCACCTTCTGCTTTTGGAGGAAGCCAGAGATGCATATATCAGTGGTAGTCTTCTCTCTGCTGGGCTTTTTTATCCCGCTAGGGATCCTGGTCTTCTGCACATTCCAGATTGTATGCAGCCTATTGAAGGTTCAGAGAAGAGAGGTATCCGAGGTGAGACAGATCCGGAAGAGTGTGTCCATGGTACTGGCCAGCCTGCTCATGTTTGTCATTTGCTTCTTACCCTTGCACATAACAATCCTGCTGAACTTCTTCCTGGGATCTAATGACGGACTCAGAAGGGTCTTCAAAATATTCACCTTTATCGCCCACACCAACTGCTGCCTGGACGCCATCTGCTACTACTTTGTGGCCAAGGAGTTCCAGGAGGTGACTCCTTTCTTCTGCCTCTGGCGCAGACAACCCAGACCCATGGCTCCTCAAGACAAGAAGACCTGTACAACCTTAATGTAGCCTGAGGTTCAGCACCCCCAAGCCCAGTGATGACATCGGTTGGCTTCCAAATCATTTCTCCTGGGCTTGTTTTGCTCCCACACAGCTCCGAAATCTTAGAATAAGCCCCAATATAACTCCTCTTCCCTCTCTATCAATTTGGAAACCCCAGACTCTTGACTTTGGCATTATTAAAAGGGGGGACAATTCTAAGGCTGGCACTGCCCAGAAATTCCCTTTTCTCTAGCTAGAAGGATGGATTCTAGAACTTGGGAACCTGGAACTCTTGTCTCAAGCTACATAGATGAGAGTTCAAGCACCTCTTGTGTCCTCTGCTGCAGAGCAGTCATCAGGGGCTCTAGTGGCTGGTTTGCAGGTGATGAGTGACGGGTCGGAATAGCTTGTGCATAAAGACTCTTTGCACTTAGCTTTGCTGTTATTTAATTAATCTGCAGAAAAAGGGGAAAGGGCATTAGGACAGACCCAGCAAATGGACCCTTTTATTACAGACCCAGAACTGAGGGGCGGCTCCCACCTACAGCAGTCAGGAGCTGACCCCCACACGACCATGTTTTACTGAGTTCTTCCTGTCATCCTACCCATTCACTGCCTAAGGCAAGGTCCCCTCCCTTGTCTCTAGAGCCAAGCTCTCCTGATCAGTGAGAGTTCACTATGTCTAGTCAACTCCAGCCACTTCACTGACATCTTCCTGGTACAGCATTGCACCCATACCCTGGTGCTGCTCTTTCCCAATTCTTGCTGTGGGACAGTAATTAAATCAACACTATCATCTCTTCCAAAAAGGGCACGTCAGTTGACCATCCTATATCACCTTTCCAGGCTTTTTTATAATTATGTCCCCAGTGATTAACACAGAGGTTGACACATAGTAAATGCTTGGTAAATACTTTTAGTACATTCATTCATTCATTCATTCATTCATCTCTTCTGGTCCTGACATTCTTTGGTATAAGATCCTCCTGGCTCTAATATTCCAACCCAGAGGGGCTGTGTTCTTTGCTCTAAATCAACTAACCAGCAAGCATTTCTTACCCACCAGCTACGTGCTTGGCACTGAGCTAGGACAGAGAATGAAGCACATTATCTCCACAGTCCTTGTATGGCCCCTCCTAACTCAGAAGTTCTGTGTTCTAGGTTTCTTTCAGCTCTGATACTGTGTGATCTCCTTTCTACCTGGGGCATTCTATCTATAAATGGGAGGGCCTCTAGGAAAAAACCAATGTTGGAGCTGAATGAGACTTAGAACATAAAACATTTGGGATTGGAGACACACTATAGAATAGGGACTGTAGGAGGTAATGCACTTCATTCATTGTCTTTGTTCCTCCCCCACTCCCACCCCCAGTGCTAGGAACATAGTAGGTACTTTATAAAATAATTCTTAATTGATTGACTGACTTAGACCACAGAACCAGCCTGGCTGGGTTGGAATAGTAGAGCAGAAAGGGACCTTAGAACATCAAAGACCTTAAATCATAAGACAGAATCTCAGAACTGGAGGGAACTTGAAGGCTTATCTAGGCCAGAGCCCCCCCACCCCCACCCCCCCTTCTTTTACAGATGAGGGGAGATGATGTACTTATGGGGCCACACCAGGGGCAGGTGAACCCTCTCACTTCCAGCCCAGTATTCTTTTGAAGATAACAAGGCAGGAAATCTGCAGGTGCTGCTGCTGGGACCTTTGTTTCTTGTAGGACATTATGGGATGAAAATTTGATCGAAACTCCTAGGACCTGGGTTCAAATCCTGACTCTGCCCTGCCTTGATGGGTCACCTTGGCCAAATCATTTCATTCTCTGGGTCTCAGTTTTCTCACTTGTAAAATGGGGATAATAATGCCCTGAATCCTTCCCTCATAGGCTGTCCTGACATGAAACAATGACTGCAAAGTGCTTGTATAGAGTCAAGGGTAGGAGTAGCTAGGTGGCACAGTAGATAGAGCTCCAGCCTTGGAGTCAGGAGGACCTGAGTTCAAATCTAGCCTCAGACACTTGACATGTACTAACTGTGTGACCCTGGGCAAGTCACTTAACCTCAACTGCCTCACCAAAAAGCAAAAAAAAAAAAAAGTCAAGGGTAGCTGTGTTTCCTTTACCTTGAAATCTAGGCTTCTGCAACCCTGTAGTGGGATGAGCCCTGAGTTCTAATCCCATCTCTTCTGCTTAATGCTGTGTGACTTTTGGCAAGTCATAAAACCTCTCTGGGCCTCACTTTCCCCACTTGTAAATAAGGAGGTTGAACTAGTTGGCCTCTAAGGCTCCTTCCAGCTTTAAATCTAGGATCCTGTGATTCTGCCTGTGTGACCCTGGGCAAGTCACTTAACTTCCCTACTCCTCAGTTTCCCCATTTGAGGCAATATGGCTGATGTGGAAATACTTTTTGCCTGACTTCCCATGTATAATCGATATATTGCTTGCTTTCTCGATGCAGAGGGCAGGGACAGAAGGGAGGAAGAGAATTTGGAGCTCAAAATTTTGAGAAATGTATGTTAAAAATAATAATTTAAAAAAACCCACAGCAGCTCTGTGGGAGGCAGAGAAGAGGGAAGAGGAAGCTGGCTATGGGTCTGCGGTGGGAGTGGGCACAGCCTATAGGGAGGCCTCCCTTGGGGTGGAAGTAACCCTAAAAGGGCAGGCAGGAGGGATTCCTGCTCCATTCCTCAGCGCCCCCTCCCCCCGAATGTGGGTGACTTGGTTCAATTCAGTTCAGCTCAGTCTGGTGCAGCCCGGTCCAGTTCAGCATATTTATTGTGTCTATGAGGGCGTGCTCTGAGAGGCAGGCAGGGCTATTATGGATAGAAAGACAGAAACCCGGGAAGACTGGGGTTCCAGTCTGCTACACACACACACACAGAGCCATGCAGGCTGGAAATCTGGGGGAGAGCAGAGGAAGAGTACCTGTGTTAGGTCAATGTGGCAGCCTGGGATGGGGAGGGAGAGGGGGAGGGGGGATGAGGAGGGAGAGGAGGAGACAGACATGTCTGGAGAGTCATGGGTGAAGGGAGGTGTGGAGGAGATTCTCCTGAAATGGTTGTTGGGGCAGGTGGTCACAAAGCGGGAGGGCAGAGGCTTTGTCCAGGCTGTGAAGGCAGCTGGTGAGGAGGAAGAGAAAAGGGAAGAGGAAGAGGAGATTACAATTCAATCATGTTCCATTACATTCAGGTATCACAGTTTGGTCATTGATTCCCAGTTGATGCCACTGCCTTCGTTGCTAGTATTTTTGCTGTGATAAATGTCGTGAGACGGAGAAATCCTTTCCCTCCGTCCCTGGCCTTGTGAGGCTGCCTGCCTAGTAGTGGCACTTCTGGGTCAGAAGGTGTGTAAACTTTTGTGCATCTAAATACTGTCCCAGGCCTGCCTGTGACTCCTTCACACACCCTCTGATGCAGCCACGCTGGTCTTCTGGCTGCTCCTCATACTTGGTTGGCTCTGCCTCCTGCCTCCATGCTTTGTACAGCCTGGTCTCCAATCCACGTCCCTAATTTCCCTGGGCAGCTAGGTGGCACAGTGCCAAGTCTAAAGTCAGGAAGACCTAAGTTCAAATCTGGCCTCAGATACTTACTAGTTTTGAGACCCTGGGCAAGTCACTTCACCCTGTTGGCCTCAGTTTCTTCATCTGTAAAATGAGCTGGAGAAGGAAATGGCAAACCACTGCAATATCTCTGCCAAGAAAATCCCAGGGTAGTAATCATGATCTCAGACAAAGTTAAAGCTAAAATAGATTCAATCAAAAGAGAAAAATAGGGAAACCGCATTATATTATTAATCAATATTGTTTTAGATTATTTAAAATAACTGGACAGTATAAGGTTGGAATATTTCTATGGTTTAGGAAATGATGAGTTGGCGGACTTAGAAAAATATGGAAAGACTTGGACTTATGAAGGAAGACGTTATCCACCCTCAGAGAAACAGAGGACAAACAAGGACAGTATGGTCTTACATAGATGCATATGAATGTATATGTCCATATGTGAGTATGATTATAGAGATCTAAGTACATGTATGTGTGTAAGTGCACGTGTGTATGTGTATATATATGTTTGTGTGTATATGTGTGTATGAGCTTAATTGTAGCCTTCTGGGCAGGGAGAAAGGGGAAAAAAGAACCAAGTAACAAGTGGACAGCGAGACAACCAAAGAGAACTTACAAGGAAGCAAAGAAAAGAGGGACAGCTCAGAACACAATGCGTACTATGTATGATACAGGCTTTCTGGAAGTGGAAATTTATTGCTGTGTATATGGAATCCTCTCCTACATTCTGCTGTACACATGACAATGCTTTTTTCCTTTTCTTGTTTTGTATTTAAGTTTATAGTTTCTTTTCTTATTGTGTGTTTAAGTTTTGGTATTTAAGTTTAAAATAAATTTGTTTTAAAAAAATCTAAAAAAAAGAATGAAAACCCCAAAAGGAGTCACGAAGAGTGGGACACAACCGAAGCAACTGAAAAACATTTCTGTAGTTCCAGCGTCACTCCCAACATGAACCCTTTTCTACTGCTCCCGGTTGCCATGTCCTGGTCCCAGGAATCTCTATGCATTTACCTACCCACCTCACCTCCTCCCCAAAAGCAGCCTTTGATTTTTGTCTCTGTATCCCCAGCACTTAGCAGGAATCAATGTCGATTGATGGAATGAGCATGTGAGGTAGTGTGGTGCAGTAGAGAGCGTTGGGGAAAGAGCTGCATTCAAATCCCATCTTTGGGCTCTAAGCACCAATCACATCATCCCTCTGAGGCTCAGCTGCCTCCTCTGTGAAATGAGGGGCTTAGAGTCAGTGGCCGCGAAGGTCCTTTTCAAGGAGAGAATCTTCTGCCTAGATGTCGTCTGAGGTCCTTCCGTCTCTAAATCTAAGATTCTGTGGGGGTCTTGTGGGCTTGTCTCTCCTGGGCTCCAGCCAGCTCCACATTTCCCACGTTGGTGTCCTGGCGTCATCTCAAATTCACATTTAAAAACCAGACTCACCACTTCTCTTCCCAGACTCAAAGCCAGATGCCCCTCCTTGATTCCTTATTCCTGGTTAGGACACCATCGCTGCTCCATGATGCTAACGCTCAGTGACTGCTGAGGGTGGTGAGGAAGATGGTGTCAGTTTATTAAGTTCCTACTATGTGCTTAGCACTGTACTGGGGATACAAGTACAAAAAGATCAAGACAGCCCCTGCCCTCAAGAAGCTTACAATCTGTAAGGGAAAGACAAAACACCAAAGGAAGCTAGCTGAAGGGGAGCAGAGACAGGTACAGACAGGTGGGGATGTAGAAATGTCAGTCACAGAAGTTCAAGGGGAGGCAATTGATGGTGGGGATGGGGGGATGGTAATGATGCAGACAGTTAAAAACTCTGTTTTCTAAGTGCACCGCCACTCTAGCACACCTTGTCCACCCTCTATGCCTAACCTCATCCCCCTGGATATTCTGAAGAAGCTTCAGCTATGACCAGCTCCCAGCCACCACCAGCATTTCCCCATGGAGGAAGTGACTGCATTTGAGCAACAGTGAAAGAGCTCCCCTCCATTGATAGGGAAAAAATTCCAAATTGTTTAGCCTGGTATTCAAGGACCTCCACAATCTGATTCCCATCTTCCAGTCCAACCCACTCTCCACTCTCCTCCACATACCTGACACTCCTACTATACTGGTCCATTTACTGGATCAGGAGTGTGCCACGCTATCATTCATCTTGCTTAATTTTTCTGAGCCTCTCTTCAGCTGCAAAATGGGTACAATAATACCTGCAGATCAAATGAACCAACTATGGAATGGCAACCACAAAAGGCACTGGAAATATCAATTATCCCTTTCTTCTTCCTCCTTATTAGCATTGTCTCTATAACTTGTTCTCAGCTCTCTACCCTTTGCCCACAAGCCCTCCTTCTTCATGGCCATTTGTCCAAATCCTGCCCAACTCAAGCCTCCTCTTATGCAAGAAGTTTCTATGAACTGCCCCAGTCCACAGTGACCTCCAACCTTTTCTGACTTCCAATTTGGAAGTTCCTTATGGAAAGAGCACTGGGTCAGAAGGAATTGGACCTAAACCTTGCCCTGACATGTATTAGCTGTATGACTCATCCTCTCTCTGGGTCTCAGTTTCCTCACCTGTAAACTCTGAGTACTTGAGTAGGAGATATCAAAGGTTCCTCTAGCTACTAATCTTGTGGTAGACCCAGGAACCCATCATGTGTGTTGTTGTTTTTGGACCTAAACCAGTGGTTTCATCCTTGGTACAGGGATCTCTCAGATGAGGAAACTCCCTCTGCCAAAGCACATAGCCACCCACTCCGTAACTTGGAGTCTCTGAGAGTTGCCCAGGGTCATAGGGAAGGGACCTGAGCCCACGTCTTCCTGGATTCATGGGTTCTGGATAATGGATGATGCTCTCAAGCTTTCCCAGCCACTAATGGAATGAAGCAAGGCTATGTGCTCGCTCCCATGCTTTTTAGCAGGATGCTTTCAGCCATCTTGTCAGATGCTTTCAAAAAGGATGAAAACAACATTCAAACCAGCTACTACGCTGAGAGTAAATTATTGAACTTGAAAAGGCTACAAGCCAAGACAAAAGTGGAGGGAGAGTTGGTGCATGACTTTTTGCTCAATGCAGCCTCTGAGGCTGAGGTGCAACAGAGTATGGGCCCGTTCTCTGCTACTTGTGCTCATTTTAGCCTGACAACACCAAGAAAAGAGAGGCTGTCCACCAGCCAGCACTGCACCATTCACATGTGGACCGTTGGTTACCACAAATAGAGAAATTTTGAATGCTGTGGATAAGTTCATTTTTCTTGATAGGAAAGCTACAAGACGACATGATATCTTTCTTTACCTTCCTGCCACCTTTACCTTTTGGCTCAGACAGACATGGCTAACCGTACATCTCCCAGAAAGTGGGAGCGCCAGGTATCCTCAACTGCTGGAGGGGCCCACAGATCTTAGGAGCTGTGAGATTGACAAAGGGACCCAGACTTCATCTTGAGTGGGTCAGATAAGGCTAAATACAGGAGTTGGTAGAATTCCTTTGGAGTCAGGGCTGCTTTCATCAGCTCATCATAGCCTCTAGCTACATTCATCTGTCTGTTCTTAGACATCCCATGGGCACAGGGCACAGGTTGGATCAGCCTGTGGTTGGCAGGATGTAGCAGTTTCTGAACTTTCCACCTGCAGTCACCAGGACCCAGCTATCTAGGCCATGAAACTCCCCGATCAGATATGCCCTCCTTTAGCACCTCACTACTTATGACCCACTAACCACTCCGTGGTTTGGTCGATGTCATCTACTCCCTTGGAAACTGTGGTCATCTGCTATGTGGGGGTGGGGGGGATTTATATCTCACCATCTCTTTGGTTTCCTATTTTCAAGCCTGCCAGCTCAGTGCCTTTGGGTGAGGAGAAAGTTTATTTGCTTACACAAAGTTGGGCTTACTGGCCCCTACCAGAGGTGTTGGAGGCTAGTCTGGTGAAAAGAGATTTGATTTCTGCCCTTCTCCTGGGAAGGCTGTTATTTCTGTTATTGGGTATCTTTGGAAACAGAGGTGATGGGAGCTGGCTCATTGTTTCACCCCGCCACCTAATCTCAGAGCATTAAACAGGCTCATTCTTTTTTCATTGTAGCTTCAGAAAGACAAAAGGCTGGCTCAGTTGCATCATTCCAGGTCTGGTGGATGCTGACTGTTGAATGGTTGGGAAAGGTGAGAGTTGGGCCTTGTTGAGAGGATGAGGGATGAGCCTTACAACCCTTTTGTCTGCATAACACTGTGGCTCAGTCAGCAAACGTGTGAAGGCCAAGATCAGGCAGAGCACAGCTGCTTAGGGGTGAAAAGCACAGGCTCTTCTATGCCCAGAATGTTTTCCCTCCCAACCCTGACTATTAAAAACATGACTTCCTTTAAGACTTTCCCCAAATGTCACCTCCTCCAGGAGGCCTTCTCTGCTCCCACCCTGCTCTGTTCCCCGCTTTCAGGCAAGGATTCTTAGCTTTTTTTGTGAGTCCTGGATTCCTTAGACAGTCTGGTAAAGGTTATGAGCGCCCTTCTTAGAAAAATGTGTTTGAGTACATAAGATACAATACATAGAATTGTGAAGGAAAACAATTATATTGAAACACAGTTATTATGTGTATATATATTTGTATGTATAATACATACATACATATGCATATATAGTTAATTAGTCAGTTAGTCAATAAAGATTTAAGTGCCTATGTGCCAGACACTGCGTGAAGCACTGGGGATACAAAGAAAGGCAAAAGACAGTCCCTGCCCTCAAGGATCCCCCAATCTAAAGGGTGTGACAACATGCAAATAACTGTGTAAACAAGCTACCATTGAAGAGAAAGCTCCAGAATGAAGAGGGATCGGGGAAGGCTTCCTGAAGAAGGGGATTTTAGGTGAGGCTTGAAGGGAACCAGGGAAGCCAGGAGGCAGGTAGGTTCACAGCCCCTAGGGTAAGCATCCCTTCTCTAAGGCTACCTTTGATTTATTCTGTAGTTATCTCCTACGTTCTGATTTCTTATAGGTTGTCCCTCCCATTAGATTGGGGGCTCCTTGGGGTACAGGCTGTTGCTTTTTCTTTGTATCCCCAGAGGTGTTTTTAACCATGTTGACCGGCAGATGATTGGATTTCCTGGCTGTGTGAGCCTGGAAAGGCACTTGACCTGTGAATTCCCCTGGGTAACTCTCCCAGACCACCAGGTACTGATCTTCATTACTAGAAGGCCTTTCCTCCTTACATCCTTCCATCTTCATCACCATCACAGATACAGATCCAGTCCCCTCCACATCCCCTCCCCCTCTCCCATTAGAATAACCCAATCTACTAGGAACTGGGATGCAACCACCAAATGGAAAAATAGTTCCTGCCCTCCAGAAGCTTACATTCTCCTGGGTGGAAATATTGATGCAGCAAGTACATTTGCATAGACAAAGTAAATGCAATGTCACTAAACAAACAAACACAATCACTAAATACAGTGTCACTGGGAGAGGGAAGGATCATTAATAATCAGAACTAAAAGAATTGTGAGGTGATAGCAGACTTTCAAGGGAAGGATGCCCATTCCCAGATACAGGTGTCATGGCTCAAAGCCCCATTTGCCCACCCTTACTTATGACTATTTAATAAGATGCCTTTCTCCCTTACAATCCTGCCAGCATTAGATGATTTTTCAGGGGGAGGGTTTGGACTGCCCTTTATTTTTTCTTTTTTTAAAATTTTCTTTAATTTTTTAAAATTAACTTATGTATTTTTTAGTTTTCAACATTTGCTTCCACAAGATTTTGAGTTCCAAATTTTCTCCCCATCTCATCCCTCCCCCCACCCCAAGATGGAATGCATTCTGAATACCCCTTTCCCTAATCTGCCCTTCCTTCTATCTCTCCCTTCCCTTCTCTTATCCCCTTCCCCTTCAATTTTCTTGTAGGACAGGATAGATTTCGATACCCCATTTCCTGTATATCTTATTTACCAGTTGCACAGCATTGGATTTTTAAAAATTATTTTTAATACTCTGCTAATTTGTCAGGTATAACAGGGGAATCAGAATTATTTTTTAAAAAACATTTTATTTTTCCAGTTGTATGAAAAACAATTAACTTTTTTTTTCAAAAAATTTGAGTTCCAAATTCTTTCCCTCCCTCCTTCCCTCCCCTGTCCCTCCATTGAGAAGACAAGCAATTGGACAAAGGTTATGTCTGGACTGTGATCTGCTCTTACCCCGGGGAGATAGACCTTTCCTGCAAATCTTCCAAGTTGTCTTGTGCTGGAAAATTGTTTGACCCCATTCTGCTGTTGGTTCTGCCACTCCAGAGCTCATTTTGAGGCATTATTTTCAAGTTGTTTGGAGGGGAATTGCGGAGAGCTCAGGCAAGTCCTTGCCTTTACTCTTCTATATTGGTTTCACCGCTATAGAATCCATCTTAGTTTCAGCTTATATTTGCTGGATATTTCCAATTCACTGTTGGGTACTGAAGAGGAGAAAGGTCTCGTTGTAGAAGGTGACACCTGGTTGGTGTTTTAAAAGAACCTAGGGATTCCAGGGGGAAAAGGTGAGAGTGTAAATGGCATTCTTAAGATATGGACTCAAGTGTGGGACCCCTGGGTCAAAGGTCTTTGACACAGTTTAAATTTTTAAAAAAATTATGTAATAATTTCCTAAACAGATCACACCTATTTGCCGTTCTACCAGCAGTCTGACAGAAGAGCCACGGTCAGGAGGTCTGGTACCTGTGGAGCATGATAGGAGGAGAAAGGGGAGATCTTGAGGCATCAGGTACTATAAGAGGTAGGGGATTAAAGCCCCCAGGGGATGATATTCCACCTTGACAGGAAGCAAGCTTGTGGTTCACCTAGAACAAGTCAAGGGCTTGGGATATTGCCCCATTTGGCCCTGACCAACCTTCACCTTCACTATATCTTGGGTGCCTTAATGTCAAGTCTCAAGTCGTTTGCCATCATATTGGGGAAGAGGCAACCCAACCCCCAGGAAACCAATCTTGTGACCTCAAGTTGCAGCCAAAGATAACTAGGTGTCCTAGTTCCCTGTGGTGAGGCAGGGGTATGACTGTTATCATCTTTCTGGGCTCCAGGATGTGGCTGACAGTGTGCCCCAGGGGAGAATTTTGACAACCACCAAGTATAGAAGCCCAGCGGTAGGCAGAGAACCATGAGGTGAAGGAAGACTGCCAAGAGATGGAAGCATGGCCCCAGATGCCAGGTATCCTGGGGCACAACTGTATTTGCCCACCCTTAGTTATGGCCCTGTTTAATCGTATGCCTGTTTCCTCATAGTCTAACCAGTACTGAATTTTATTAACATCTTTAACATTCTGCACTTTATCAGGTATGATGTGGGATCTTAGAGTTTTAACAAATATTTACCGGATGTTTCCAATTCCCTGCTGGGCACTGGAGAGCAGACAGGGAGGGAAAAACCTGAGTCCATTTCCTGAAGAAGCTTATAGTCTAGTAAGAGAGAAAGAACACACAGAGAGAAAGCAAAGGATGAGACAGGTCATTGTAACAGGGAAGAAAAGAGATTTTTCTTTTTAGTGTCTAGTATTTTCCCAACTCAAGTAGTAACCACCACCCCTCCCCTGGAGACATCTGCTAAATATCAGCAGAGGAGAAATTGGGTTCGGTTAGAATCTGTAAGTCTGGGTTTTGTCGGGGACTTTCTGGTGTGATTTATGTCAAACATTCCAGCTGGAATGAGAAGAGTAACAACTGAGGGGAAAAAAAATCAAACCAGAAAGCAATGATGTTAACCGCAAGCCAGGAGGTGAAATTGGGCTCGCTAGTTAGGTGGCTTCTTTACCCCACTGTATTCTTTCCATTTTACAGATGAGAAAACTGATTCTGCCAAATTAAGTAATTGGCCCATGGTTACCTGGCTAGTAAGTGTTACAGACAGGATTTGAACACAGGTCTTCTTGATTCTGGGCTGAGCACTCTATCTACCACAGCCTACTGCATCTACTAAAGGTCATGACTTCTTGAAAATGATAAACTAAAGAAAAAAGGGGGGTTTCTGTTGTTTATTGGCTGTGTGATATTGGGCAAGTCAGTGAGTCAAGAGACATTTATTAACCACTTTAATATGGATCAGGCACTGTGCTAAGCTAAGCTACCCCTACAAGAAGCCTATCTGCATCTCCCTTAATGCTAGTGTTTTCCCTCCGTGGGTTGTTTCTTGGTCATTCTGTTTGTAGCTTGTTTGTACATAACTGTTTTGCTGATTTAACTGGTTTGAACTGGTTTAACTCCCTAAGGGAGGGCCTCCTAATTCTGGAGAATTAGGAGGACAATAAGTAGTTTAGAAGAAAAAGTGGTAAACCTTACCCAAGTAAGAGATCCCCAGAAAACCAGAATACTCCAGACAGAAATCAATGACTCCATAAGACAGCAAGACATCACAAAATAATCAAAAGATTGAAAAATAGAAGAAATGTAAGATATTTGACATTTTTAAAAAAACTTGGAAAACAGGCCAAGAAGACATAATTTGAAAGTATTCAGACTCTCTGAAAACCACAATAAAAAAAAAAAGCCTGAGCATTACTGTTGTTCAAGGAATCACAAATAAAAACTGACAAGATCTTTTAGAACCAGAGGGCAAAGTAAAGATAAAACGAATATACTGAATACCACCTGAAAGAAACACCAAAAGGAACTGCCCCAGGAATGTCATAGCCAAAATCCAAAGTTCTTGTATCAAAGAAAAACATTGCAAGCATCCAGGAAGAAACTAGGAAGTTCAAATATCGTGGAACTAAAGTCAGGTTGGCACAAGATCTAACAGTTTTTACTAAAAAACCAGAGGAGATCTTGGAATGCAATATTCCAAAGGCAAAATATGCAGGACTAAAATCCTGAATAATTTACCCCGAAAAACTGATTATAATCCTCCAGAAGAAAAAAAAAATAGATGTTTGATGGAATAGAAGACTTTCAAGAATTTTTGATGAAAAGACTATAGCTGAGTAGGAATTTTTTTTGGGGGGTGGGGCTAGGCAATGCGGTTAAATGACTTGTCCAGGGTCACACAACTAGTAAGTGTTATTTGTCTGAGGCTGGATTTGAACTCAGGTCCTCCTGAATCCAGGGCTATTGCTCTATCTACCTCAAAGCCTAGCTGCCCCTGAGTAGGGATTTTGAAATACAAACACAAGTACAGAGAATCTTAGAAAGGTGATTTTATTCCTGCAATTTAGAAGGTATCGTGTGATGGTGGAGTGCTAAACAGCCTGATGATGGGACAAGAAACAAGTATCCCTCCAGAACCTGAAAGTCTTCAAAGGATACTGAGTTAAACAATTTCTTTAATAGGATAAAAGGAATACACTAGTGTAAAAAATAAGAAGAAGGAAGCAGGACTTACTATTCTTCATACTTGGGGTGTTTGAGAAGAAAAATATACAGTGAGGAAGGAGGGGAGGGAATAGTCACAAGCAAAGAAAATTTCTGATCCTGAAGGGGGGGATTAAACTTGGGGGTTGGGGAAGAGGAGATAGAAAGAATTGGAATCCAGGAGTGTACTTGAGATTGCCTTTTATGGCTGAACAGATTGTATATGAATGTAAGCAATTATTGTTGGGCTGACCATTGGACAAAAGAGACAATTTCAAAGAATTCTGACCTGACAGCAAGTGAAGTGAACAGAACCAGAAGAAAGATGCATTCAAGGACGACAACATTGTAACAAGAAAACAGCTGGAAGGCTGAAAAATTCTGATCGAAGCCACAGCAAATCATGTTGCCAGAGGACCTATGATGGTATGCGGCCCATCTCTTGACTGGATGATGGACACAAGGTGCAGAGGCAAACATTTCTGGACTTGGCCACTGCGTGGACTTTTTGGTTTGTTTGCTTGACTATGTTTATTTGTTACATGGGTGGTTTTTTTCCTCCTCCTTACTTTCTCTCTGTAAACTGGGAGGGGAGTGTTTAGGTTGTATATGGGGGAAGGGAGGGGGGTTAGCAATAGTGATGCCAGAAAAAAAGAAGGCCATGGAAATATTTTCTTTAAATGAACAAACAAGTAGAGTTTTGAAAGTAACTTGTAGAACTTAATTTGAAAAAGGAAATTTTTGTGGCATGAAGAGTCACTGTTGCATAAAAGATCCTCTTTTGGGATTTTACTGTTCTGCAGGTGTGGAAATACTCTTTTTTGTGATGTTTAAGTTCAGAATTCTTTAAAATGCTAAGCAGAGGAGTTTATATTTGATCGTGGAAATAACAGGAAATCCTTGCATTTCCACTGTGCCAGGGAACAACATAGTCACACCTATGCATGAACAAAATCACCTTGCTAGCTGTGTAGAGGCAAGGAGGCAGGGAGACCAATTAGGAGTCAAGAGGTAAAGAAGGACTAGATTAGAGGCATGGCTATGTGAGTAGAGAGAAAGGAACTTCTCCAAGAGAGATAATAAAAGCAGAAATAACAGATTGGATGTGTGGCGTGGGAGAGAGGAAGGAGTCCAGAATGGCTCTGAGTTATTTGAGCTTGGGTGACTGGAAGAATGCTGATGCAGTCTACAGGAATAAGGAAGTTAAGCAGGAGGGAAGCTGGGCGTGGGGAGGAAGTAAGAGGGAAGAAAGAGAAAAACACAAGTCATTAAACCTCCCTGGGGTTCTGAAAAATGACAGGGTCGGTTGGGATGAGCTCTAACATTCCTGATTCCCCTCCTTCTCCTTCTGCTTCTGCTTCTCTATTTCCTTCTCCTCCTCCCTTTTCTCCTTCTCCATCTCCTTCTCCTCCCTATGCCCTGACACTCGCTACTTTTCCCAATTCCCACTCCCGACAATCTAGTTGGTGGTGTTGAGACTTTGAGAAGTCTCTGGTAACTGTTTCCATCTGGACTTCAAGCTCTCTGAGGGCAGGAACCCTGTGCTATATTGGCAGAGGGCAATTACAGAGTGTCTTGGGTGCTTCCTAACTCCCAATGCCCTGCCCTTTTCCACAGACCACATTCTTTCTCCTACATCATTACTGCAATGTGGCAACCAAAAAGGCCCCAATCTTGGGCTGCATCATCGTGGGGCATGGCTCTGTAGCTGGAAGGGCCCTGAGAGGCCATCGGTCTAAGTAACCCTTTCATTTGTCAGAAAAGGAAACTGATGGGGCAGCTAGGTGGCACAGTGGATAGAGCACCAGCCCTGGATTCAGGAGGACCCGAGTTCAAATCTGGCCTCAGATACATATACTAGCTGTATAACCCTAGGCAAGTTACTTAATCCCATTGCCTAGTCAAAAAGAAAAAAGAAAAAAAAAGAAAAGGAAACTGAGGCCCAAGGAGGTTACTCGGACATCCTAGGGTCACATGGGTGGTAAGTGTCAAAGGCAAGATCTGAAGCCCAGAGCTCTACCTCTTGAGTCAGGGCACTCTGTCCTACCTCTCCACGGCTTCCAGGAGTCAAGGTGACAGGCTTTCTGTCCTCTGCCCTGGTCAGCTTATCTGGAGTACAGCGTTCAGTTCTGCACAGTTTAAGAAAGACGTTATCAAGGGGGAGAACATCCAGAGTCCATGTCGTCTGAGGGCTATAGAAAAGGACTAGGGGTGTTCAGTCTGGGAAGACTCAGGGGGCACACTCGAGATGTCAAGTGCTTGGAAGGCAGTTGTGTAGACAAGCGATCAGCTTTGTTCAGCCTGCCCCAGAGGGCAGAGCCTCACCATGGGGGGAAGCCAGAAAGAAGCCAGTTGAGGCTGGAGGTGAGAACAACTCCCCCAAGCAGGAGAGCCCTCCCCAAGCATCCTCGGCTGCCTCAGGAGGTGAGGGCTCCCTCTTCCTGGAGGTGTTCAGGGAATCTGGACAGCCACTCTCAGGGGAGCTGGTAAAGGTAGCCCAGATGGCCTCTGGGCCTCCTTCCAGCTCTGTGATCATCACCACATTCACCTCTAGTCCCCTGTGAGTCCTTGCTGGGAGTCAGGAATGTTTGGGGGAAATTCCCTCAATGCCCCCTGCTGTTGCCTTTGCTGCTGACTCAGATGGCTTCTATGCTGTGGTGTCAGAGCTGACTTGGTGACAACTTATGAAAGTCCTATCAGGAAACGGGCTGATTTGTTCAGAATTGCCTAATAGCTGGTGCATGGTGAACTGTATTATCTTGACACGCAGACCCGAGGGAGGTCAACCTCCCTTGTCTCAGTCTAGGAATCTGTCTCTGAAGGGCTACCGTGAGCTAGGCTCTGACAGAGGTGGGTAGACAGCTCCCTCCTGGATGAGTTAAGGAACAAATGTGCCTTTGGGGACAAGTTAGCGGAGCTGTCATCCAGGACTTACCTGAACTCTTCAGGAACCAGTGTGAATTATTAGGCCCCATCCTCACATGGAGAACACAGAATCAGAGGATTTGAGCTGGAAAGGCTCGGAGAGGTCATTGCTTCAGTTTCTTCATTTGTGAAAGAATGGGGTTGGACTAGATGACCTTTGAGGTCCCTTCTAGAGCTGGGGTCAGGAAGGTCTGATTTCAAAACTTACTAGCTGTGTGACTCTGGGCAAGTCACTTAAACTTCTGTTTGCCTCAGTTTCCCTATATGTAAAAAAGAATTAAAATAACACTTACTTCCCAGGATTGTGAGTGAAAAATAAGATCATTTCTCTAAGTACCATAGAAATACTAGCTATTATAACCCTTCATATGACAGTTGAGGAGACTGAGGTCCAGGGCAGGGAAGTAGTTTGCCCTGGGTCCCACAGGTAGTGAGGACCAGAGCCAGGACTGCAATCCAGGTTTCCCATTCCAGATCGAAGGCCCTTCCCTCCATCCCTAAATGACAACGTTCCTCTTCAGAAAAGTGTGCATGTGTGGCTCCACGCTGAAGTTCTGGGCTCCTAGGCAGTCCATCCAGGCTTTGCCCATCTAATCCAAAAATGTTTAGGATAGACTTGGTCTCTTTAAAAGATGAGTTGAAGTAAATCCTTACTTTTCTACTGGTTTCCCCCCGCTTTTTATTCTGAACTTAACAAACATCAACAAAATGAGCGCTTCCAGACACATGGTCAGACAAAAAGAGGGTGCATGTGGAACTGAGTCTCTTGTGCCCAGCCTGCTTTTCTTGACTTCTATCATAAAACATTGAACTGATATAGTCGGGCCATTAGCAGGCTGAACCTAGGTGCTTTTTAACACATTGGATCTTCCCATGGGTATTTGGTGCAACTCAGCAAACACCAATTCAGCATCTACTAAGTGAAAGGCACTGGTGGGATAGGAGGGCATAGGGATAGGCAGCGATGGGTCCCCACAAACTAGCCAGTTCAGTTCAATTCAGTAAATATTCATTGAGCTCCTGCTCTGTGAGAGAAACAGAGAGGCAGAGATAGAGAGAAAAAGAGAGAAAAGAAGGAGGAGGAGGGGGAGAAGGAGGAGGAAGAGGAGGAAGAGGGGGAGGAGGGGGAGGAAGAGAGGGAGGAGGGGGAGGAGGAATATGTCTGTGAATATGTCAGTGCTCTCTTCTGCCTCCTCAAATGATCATGTGTTATGTATATTCATGTTGTATCCCCCTAGTAGAATGTAAGCTCTCTGAGGGCAGGGATTGTTTTGCTTTTTGTCATTATATCTCCAGTGCCTAGCCAACAGTAGGAGCTTAATAAAGATTTGTTGGGTTGAATTGAATTGGCCCATCTGTGGGTGCCAGCGAATATCAGTTTCTACTTCTGTCTCCCCATATCCTAGTGTAGGGTAATGAGGGCCAGGATGCCTTGGTGCCCAGGTGCCTAGGATTATGTGTCCCATGTAAAGAAGCTGAGGGAGAATTCTGCTAATGTGGAATGGAGGCACCTTGGAGAGCCTGGTTCTGTTCAGATAATCATGTGGTGCCCAGGAGGCTCTTTGATCGGCTGTGGAGGTGTTCCGAAGGCCTTGGCTGGCTTCCACCACCTCTTTCAGGTGCCCTTCATGGGGTAAGGCTCCTTTTCTCACAGCATCTGGTGGGAGACAAAGCTATGCGACCTTGTGGCCCATGAAAGGGCCTCCATCCTCAGCCTCTGCTGCTTGTTCTTTCCCATTTTTAGGTGAAGCAACTTGGCTTCTCCAGCCTTGTGAGTTTGACTACATGCTACCCTTTCTCTGGGCACATAGTAGGTGCTTCATAAATGGTGATAGATTGGAAGGGATGATATAAGGTAGTACTGTAGATGGACAGTTGGGAGGATACACTGGGACCCAGTGGATGTGGAAAGACCCAGATGAAGGAAGGCCTCCAACAAACGGGGGAGAAGATGAGGAGGATGAGGACAAGAGAGGCACAGGATGAGGCATCGTGGAGGGGTCGCAATCTGCCCCTGTGGAGAGACTGCCCCCACCTTTGGGGTTGTGGATCCAGTGAATTGTAAGGGCATAATAAGGGCAAAAGGGCAAGATCCAGACAAAGAATAATTTGGGGAGGGAGAGAATCCTCTTCGTGCCCCAGGCAGGGTCAGGGCTAGGTCTCCACTCCTGGTCTCGTCACCTTAAAGAGAATGTCGGCTCTTACTGTGCTACCCGTCCTGGGCCTACAAGCTCTTTGGGGGAACAGAGGAAAGAGAAGCCACAGTGGCTATCCTCAGGGAACTTGGGCCTCAGCTGGGAAGAAAATATGCCCCCATTCCTTCAGGCCTTTGAATGTGGGGAGCCCTGGGCTTCTGCTGGGGGTGATTCTGGGTCCTTCCCTCATGTAGATTTGTCTAAAAGAGGAGTTGGCATTTGGGCAGATGAGAATACAGACGACCCAAGATTGGCACGTGAGAGAGGGGTGCGAGCAAAGTCAGGTGAGATGGGAACCCAGCTTCCCTGACTCCAAAGCCAGTGTTTGTTCTGGGCACCACACTGACTCAGGGTCCTGGGATGAAGGCTCTCCTCCACACCACCCCTGGACCATTGATGTCTCCTCTCCCGGCTCCTCCCTTCCTCCAGAAGTCAGCTCTCTTCGAATTTCCTCTTGGGCCAAGACTGCCCTCAGGTGGTGATGCGTCTGTCATGACTGTTCCGGGTCCCCACAGTTCCTGTTCAGGCCCATCATTTTACAGATGAGGAAACTAGGATCATCGATGAAGGAGCTTCCGAGGTCATCTGATCCAATCCTCTCATTTTACAAATGGGGAAACTGAGGTCCATCCCATTCCAGTTTGTTTCATTCCTACGACATTAACAGCCACACACGCAATCATCTACAAGCATTTCTCAGACATGTTTGCGTGGTTATGCTCAGCACCAGGGATGGAAAGGATGTGACCCCTACCCTCAGAGAACTTGCTCTGGTTCACCCTTTGTTCTTTTTTTTAATTTTTAGGCAATTGGGGTTAAGTGACTTGCCCAAGGTCACACAGCTAGTAAGTGTCAAGTGTTTGGTCTGAGGCCAGATTTGAACTCAGGACCTCCTGACTTCAGGGCCAGCGCTCTGTCCACTGCACCACCTACCTGCCCCTCACCCTTCATTCTTGAAGAGTACCAATGACAGCAGGATCATGGCATCTTGACTTCCTGTGAATTGGGTGTGAGTGAGGCACAGAGTCATCCACCTTGCTCTCTCCTCCAAAGTCACCAGTTGGGTTTAGGATTTTATGCTAAAGTTGCATTGATAATACAAAGAAGACAGAAACAACAGGTGGTGTGTCATAACTGAAGTCTTCTTAAGTTTCCAGTGAATTACAGGTGCTTAAATTTGATGTCCATATAACTATTGTCAATGTGACAATAGAGCTGGTATTCATTACATAACCTCGTTATTGGAAAAAGCAAATTTAGGAGAGTGCACTAAATGTGCTGAGATCTATTTTACGAAAGCTTTTCATAGAATCATTGAGGACTTTGCAGGTGACTTGGACGCAGAGAAGCAAACCCACTGGAAAGGGACCTCTCTGGAGCTGCCTGAGGAGAAGCCCTGTTCTGGGATGTCCAGGGGAAGATGTTTCTGGGACTCAAGGTGAAATGTGCTCGTTCACTGAAGGTTGGGATTGGCTCACAGGTTGCAAGGGGATCACTGTCACTGGATGATCATTATTGTGCTGTTTTTGTCTTTTGTTTCACAGTGTTTATGTTTACTGAATTTTCTTAGTGACTTTGCTGATACGTACATCTCCCCTCTAAAATCATCACATGGTGTGCCCTTTAAGTGGTTTGAGCTGTAATATGCCTTAGTTTACACATAGAGCCTATTTACCTAAGCTCATCTCTTTGGGGGATACATGAGATTGTGGCTGTCCAAGTTTATTCAATTTTATGACATTGATGGAATTACGGTTTGTGGCACCTGTTTCCTATTGTGAGTGCCCTTGTTCATAGCTGCTAGTTCGGTCCAATCAGTAGCAAAGATTAGGATGATGAAGTTGGGGATAAAGGTGCACTGGGAGATTGAACGTGGTGCTGAACCACACATGTTTGGTTTTGCTGTTCAGTCACTTCCGTCTACATGGTTAGCACCACATGGGGGAGCTTATCAACCAGTATTGGGGGAGGCTCTGGTGGAGAAGGAGTCACCAAGTCTTCAGCTTTCTTTTTCACCTGCTCTTTGTGCCCTGCCCCTACCTGCAAGCTGTCACGTTCTTGCTACCTGGGGAGGAATGAGATGCAAAGGATAGGATGCCTCTTCTGCCAAGGAGGACCTGTCTAGATTGTTTTAGACTTACCTGAAAAAACTGGCCCCACCTTGAAGCCATGACTGATCTTCAGTGATTGTCCAACAGTGGGTGGCTACCTTGATATACTTATAAAACAATTCTTTTAATTCTCTTTGTCCTGAGTTTTGCCTCGTTAATCAAGATGAAAGCCCAAATGAAGAATTTTCCTTTCAACATAATGGCAGTGTTTCCCAGCTTCTGTTCAATTGGCCAGCTGGGTCTCCAAAGGGCACTTCCTACTACTCTCAGATAATGTGGCAAAGACAATTAATATAAAACTTTCTCATAAGAACCTGGTTCACTTCTTCCTACACATGCACACAGCCCCCACTGGAGGAGTAGGCTTCAATTCAGACCATAATTGTAGTGAGGCACACATGTAAGAAATGTGTGACAAGATTTAACATACATCGCTTGCTCCGGAAATCCCTCTCTGTGGAGACCTTGTGCAGAATTCCCTGGTGTTGTTTGTCCTTTCTGGAAGACCAATGAGATCACAAGCATGACATCATAACTTGCTTGTGAATCGGAGCTGA